AAATAATTTTAAAGCTTACTCCAAATTGTCCAGTACCAATCTGTTTCATTATAGTGAGCTCATTTCTGTTGATCTGAAATACACCTAAAAAAGAGATATAATTATAAAATGAAACACAAACAATAATTGTTAAAATATAAAATCTATGATAAATAATCTTATCAAGTTACCATATCCTAACAAAACAGGTGGATTATTAGTTCCAGTATAAGGAAAACGAAGTCGTGTTGCAAGCCCTAAAAAACATACTTTTTTAATAATGTTATTTATTAGGTTATAATGTTACCTCAATAAGAAGCTAATAAAAATTATAAAAAAAAACAGTATAGATGCACAACTTGGCCTCACATGTCCAGGCTACCGCTATTTGCATCTCTAGTCGACTAAAGATATAAGCGAGGTAACATTAATTAACATTAATTGACATCAAAAAGCTTGTCAATTAACAGCCTAGTCTCTGAAGTTCAACAGCTTTAAAGCAAACAATAACAGACTCAAGTAAAAATACAACATAAAGTACAACAGTTCACAACTCTTAATAAAAATTGATTTATGAGCAAACACTATTGCAGAAACTATTATTTGGCATTTGTCAAATATTTTCACATTTGTTGTAACAAATATTTAAAATTACTTAACATAATTATTTATATAAATAATTTTAAATTATAAATAATTATATATATAAACAAATAATAATAATAACAATAATAATAATAATAATAATAATATAAATAAATAATAAACAAATTTAAAATAATAAAAGACATGTCTAATATTTTTACATTTGTTGTAACAAATATATACAATTACTATGGTATAAAAAAATTAAACACAGTAACAACTTTTTTCATTTACAATAACTATTATTTTATATTGATATAGATAATCAAATAAAACTAATTCAGTAAAAATTTTAAAGTATCTAGTTTAATGTTTAATAATAACTGTGATGCACTTGTTTGAACAGGCTTCCAAAATGACACTTTTTTAAAAATATACCGTTGTGGAATAGTTAAAGCAGATTTTTACAAAGCCCTTAATTAAGATATTTATTGGGCTACTACCATTAGAAATAATTCAAACAAACTTCAATTCTAATCTACAATTAAATTGAATAATTAAATTGAAGATTTTATATCATCCCTTCTTCTAATTAATATGGGAATTGTGCACTATTTATAGATTTTATATAGAACTTTATAATACAATATTACATAAGAATATTAAAAATAAACACAACAAAAGCTAGTAAAGTCAAATATAACAAAAAGTAATAATAGTATTACAAGTAAAATTAAAAAATTTAGTAATAAAATAATACCAGCACTGTTAAGTTTATGATACTCTATAAGTTGTACAACAGATTCAAAACTGTGTCGTTGAGAAACATAAAACAAATTGTCACTATCTGTTTTGATATGATAATGTTTAACAACACCTTGGAAACTAAATTAAAAAAGTTTGTTTTATAACTTGGTAACTCTCATAAAATATATTTATATTCATATATATTTATAAAACACATTTATATTATGTAATATGGGTCATTACAGGTATATATTTATAAACATATTTTTACATACAGTAACCAAATAGATATAATGATATATTTATACTATGTTTAAATAAAAATGTTCTTAAAATTGATGTGTTTTATCAGACTCTTCTTTTCCCAGTTTCTCAGATATTACTGGTTTAAAAACTTGTTTAAGGGTAATTTACTCTCTTATTTCTTATTTTATATAAATTCTAAGAAGTTTTTTCTTTTTTTTTTAAATATGTCTTTTATAGAATTTATATCAATTGTCACCATAAAAAAGTCATACAATCTAACTTCTTTTTTTAAATTATCTCATAAATTTTTATTCCATTGGCTAATCAACAGAAGCCGAAACATTATTTAGAAAAATTTGCTCAATAAACATTTCATTACTTACCTAAAAGAGAGTGTGTACATTTTTGGTTTACTTGCATTTCTGACAAGAAAAGTTCCATCATTTGTATTCTGGATTTAAAATAAAAAAATTATAACAATTTTATGAGTTAAATGTCTATAGTTGTATAAACACACTTGTATTATTTAGACAGGTTTCTATAATGCCATTTTCTTATTTAAATGCAACATTATGGAAAAGTTAAAGTAACTTTTTTACATCAGGTTATCCTTTCCTGGCATTTACCTGTTTCGCACTTTCCTGGCATTTACCTGTTTTGCAGATCAGAGTATTTTTATTGTAATACTACCACAAGGCAACCTTGTTAACAAGCTCCTCCAACCCTTATTCAAAACAGTTTAAAGTCATAAGGATATTTTTTTTCAACTTTGATTTAACAAAATTTTAAAACTATTTAAAAACTGTGTATAACTTTTAACTACTGTGATTATTTTAATTATTAAAAAAATAAAATTATTAAAAAAAGTAAAACAACTTTAATTTAAAAATTAGAGACTTTTTCTTTATTCTTTATTTAAACTACCAAAATAATTCAATACTAC